TACAGCGAGAATAAAAGTTACGCCTTCTTTCTTTGCGTGAACATTTGGGCGGGGTTATGCAAATGTTCCCACACAGTGACGTAGACATGTGGGGTCGTGTTTAAACGAGGCGTTTTAGGAGTCTTAATTTGATTTCTTGTGTCTTGACACCTTTAAAGAACTTTTGGAGTAAGGAAAAGGTTTCTCTTACCTTAAGTTTATTTATTATTATTATTATTATTATTATTATTATACCCAGATGTATATATGTCCATGTAATATAGATCAGTAAGACTAATTAAAATGTATTGATCCATTGAGGATTTGCAGTAAAATGTTTGTTCTGTGTCACTCTTTTCTTCTGCTCAGATGGAGGCAGGAAAATCCAGAATATCCAACCCTTCACCAAGAAGGATCTGGACTCAGCTGGCCTTGGCGACCGCATACGGGACATTAACTGCATCACTCACGTGCATCCAGACTTACCAAAGAATGAAGTATTTAAGAAATTCTTTACAGGTATGTAACCAGATCTTTTAAAGACAGTGGCTGTATACTGAGGTTTCACTAAGGGTTTTTTTAAAAATCTGTATATTTTAATATTAATATTAAAAAATAAGATGTATTTTGTGCTAAATATAAGAGAAACATTTTTAAAAAATGATGCATATGTTTTCTTGTGTCCTGAAACAGTACCTTCTCCCCCGAATCCTGATGGATACCTGCCATTCAAACTAACAACAGTAGTCAACCCGTAAGTGCAATTATTTTGCTGTAAATTTATATAACTTTTCAAGATGTTATCAAATTTACCCTGAGGTATTAATAAAGAAACCTTGAAGATATGATATACTAAAGCATAATTTTATAAACACACAGTCACAGAGCCGTTATGTTAAAACAACTCCGGGTATATAAAGAGAACTGTTTCTACATAAAGTATGACAGAAAAATGTATTCAAGTCATTTAACTGTTGCTGTAATGGGCATTGACAATATCTGTCACATAATTGTATTTTTTCTTTTGATGTTCAGAGGAGACCAGGGTTCCTCCACCGCCAGCATACCACCTGACACTCCTATGGATATTTACGGGCAATCTATGAGCAATGTCTATGGGTCAAACATGTGCGTATTAATCATTATTTAAGCCACAGATATACACACTGTCACAGTATTTTACAAGTCTTTATTATGTGGCATATAAAATACGTCTTTTCCCTCCACAGGAATCAGGGCATGTTCTCCCCGTAAGTATAATTATACTTTGGCTTTGGTAAAGTTAATTCACATTCACATCTATCTGCTCATATGGAAAAAGTAGGACAGGAGATGAACTATGCTGATTATATTTCTTGATCAGAGGGCATTATTGTAAAATGAGCCATCGATGGCTTTTGAGGCAACATCCTAACCAAAATAGTCTCTTGAAACACTGATAATTGACACATTAAGTACACAAGACAATCTTCTACAGTCGACACTAGTCGCTGATTCCAGTAAAGTCAGACATTAGCACATGTCGCTAAGCTAACATTGCAATATTCCAAGCCTCAAAAAATGTTGAGTAAAATAGTCCAAGATTTTTTAATGCTCACTAAGGTTAAAGTTAAATCAGTAATATTGTGAAAAGTTATTACAATTTAAAATAGCCGTTTAATCATTAAAATTTAAGCTAACATTGCAATATTCCAAGCCTCAAAAAATGTTGAGTAAAATAGTCCAAGATTTTTTAATGCTCACTAAGGTTAAAGTTAAATCAGTAATATTGTGTAAATACAGTAAAATGTATTACAATTTAAAATAGCCGTTTAATCATTAAAATTTTAGGTACAATTATTTTGATGTGTGTTAAAATATAATTTATTCCTGTGATGGCAAAGCTGAATTTCTATCATCATTATTTTAGTCTTTAGTGTCACATGATCCTTCAGAAATCATTCTAATATGCTGATTTGCTACTCAAATAATATTTCTGAAAACTGCTTAATAGTTTTGTGGAAATTTTTTTTTTTTAGGATTCTTTGATGAATAGAAAGTTGAAAATTATTATTTATTTATAATATAAAATTGTCTTTACTGTAACTTTTGATCAATTTAATGCATCTTGCTGAATAAAAGTATTAATTTCTTAACAAAAAAAAATCTTGCTGACCCAAAACTTTTTAATGTCTTTTTATAATTAACATTTTACTTGGCTCTGTCTGCCATCTTGAATGATAATTTTCACTGAGCCTTAGCAGTGCATCCTGAAAGTGGCTTAACCACTGAGGGCACATGTGATAACATAGTTTGAGTTAGCTATCTAGGTAGGCAGCTCACTAGAATTTAGAGCAATAGCACCCAAGTAAATGACTGTTTAACCACTGACTGTTGTGCTTCTGTTGCCCTATCCTAGACTTCCTCAGTCTACACCCCCATATATGCCAGAGCAAATACCTGTTCAAGGACCACTCTACCAATCACCCATGTGAGTCACAGCCACAGTAAGGTTTCCTGTAAATTCCTAGGGTATATCTGATGTATCAGCGTCACTTTCTGTTGACACACTTGCACATCTGTTCTTTATTACCATTCTCAAATTTGTTTATTCTTTAATAGGCCACAAGCTCCCTCAAGTGAAGAAATAGACATGGAAGCACTGGAGGGAATTTTGTCATCAATTTGTCAAAATACTAACAAAGATCTTCATTAGATGTACAGACCCTCTGTTCTTCTTGGACAAAGGCTATTTGATGGCTTGATGCTCTAAGGACATCCAGCACAACTCGTACATCCCAAAGGACACATTACCCATTTGTTCCCAAAACAAGTGTATCAGTAGGAATGCACTTTTCTTAAATTAATTTCCATGAATTATTGAGCGGTGAATGTTTTTATCACATGGCTTGTTTTCAACTCAACGTCACACTCGCTTTCTCCTGCATAAACACACTAAATGTGCAGTTTAAAGGAACAGTGCGTTTCACTCGATCATAGTAAATGTTTGCTAGCAACTTTTTAATGAAAGCAGGTGAACCTCTGGCAAAAAGAGTCTTATTAGCATGCAGTACATAAACTCACAAGTCATTCCCTGTTTCGGTCTCATGACTGCTCTTGAAAGTAGCATTATAACTGACAAGTGAAACAGGAAATTATTTGCTATCAGGGGGTTTTATCAAGAGAGACCTGATAGATTTAACATAATACACATTTTTGTCTGCCAGAAGATTTGTTTCCTTTACATATGATGCAGAAAAACATATCCAGGGACCAGAGTAGATTAGTGATATTTTACTGCAGATGCAGACAATGATTTGGTGAGGTGAGCATACTTTTAGACCTTTTAGAAATGATAGGTTTTATTAAACTCTATGCAAATATGTTTTGTGCCAAATTCCATATAGACAGTTTTTTTATTTGGTTGTTTGATTTGCATGACTTGTGTGTGATCGCATATTCAATATTCAGTATTCGTCTACAGTCAGGTTTGGCCAGTAAAGCTAAAATTAAAGTTTTTTAAAATTATATATCAATAGCAAGTTTTGCTTTACTCTGTCATGTATCATTTGTTCCTCCAGTTGCAAAAAATGAGCTCAATTTTATCGCTGCAGGCCTGCAAAACTCTCTTTACATCATTGATGGGTATAAATCATGTAAAATACATATCATGTGCACAAGATAACAGTAAGGTTTTTTGTCAGATGTAGACATAATACTGTCTCTGCGTACTCTACAGTGTTCTGTGTGCACCTTTTCTGTGTTTAGACTTTAGTGCTACAAGTCGTCAACGTTCTTAAAATGGAAATGTAATATACAGTTTCTCTTCCATAAACTGATTTTTGCCGTCCAAAAATACTGTTCTATAATCTTGTAAAATATAAAGCTTTCATCTTAGTGCTTTGAATATGAAAATATATCAAATGGGATGTTTTTCAAAGGTGCCATCAGTAACTGTCTATGTATTTAGTCTAGAAGGGGAGTACCACTTAGTTTTGTTTCTGTTGTCTATTCAAATGTTCTTTCTGTATCACTAACTGATGAATATGCTAGATATGCACCTGCCTGATCGATACCCGGAAATCTCGCCATATTGCTGTTACCGGCCACAGAGGAGTATAAAGCACTTACTAAAATTTTTCTTTTTTAATACATGTGACCAAATTTGTAAAGCAGGTATATAAGAATTTTTTTAAAGGAATTTTCATATTTCAATGTTTTAAATCTGATAAAGTCAAAATCCATTTATGACAGATTCTCTTGCCTGAGCATTAAATAGAAAGGGATCTCATTATAATATTACCGCCCCTTAATCTGTAAGTTTCCACCCACGGTGCCATCATTTTGATTTTGCAAGCGACAACGGTGTACTAGTTTTAACGCCATGGTAAAAGTTTGAGCAAAACACGCTAACTGTTCTGTCTTTGGTTGCACAGACGAGCACAGAGCACTATTTACAGTCCCAGCCTCACAAGAGACAACAGAGCAGTGGATTTATTGATTTATTTACTGTTTATTGCTGCTGCCACACAGATCTAAAATAAACATGCAATTTATTTCCCAGCTGTTTACCTTCACAGACATAACCGACTGTTTTTTGTAACTCATGTGTGTTTTTAACATAAACTTGTGTGTGAATGAGAACTTAAGTTTAGTACTCACATGCTGTGACAGCCGCTTTCTGTCTGTGTGCTTCGGATGTGTGCGCTCAGAAAACCATATATCTGAAGTTTAAACTCGTATGGTTTAAAACGCATGATTTCAGCGCGACAAACATGATAATCAGAACTAAAACATATGTTTTTTTAGCAGATATGAGCTGTAATGGCACAGCTATATTCTGGAAAAGGGGGCGGGGAGCAGCAGCTCATTTGCATTTAAAGAGACAGGCGCGAAAAACAGCTGTTTCTGCTTCCACTCAAAATAGGCATTTTCAAAATGATATAATAAATTATCTATGGGGTATTTTTAGCTGGAACTTCACAGACACATTCTGGGGACACCAGAGACTTATTACATATTGTAAAAAAGGGGCATAATATGTCTCCTTTAAGGATTTGTCCAGAATATATGATTCTCTCACATTTCATTAGATTAAAAAAAGTAATATGACAATTAACAAATGTAAGTGTTAATTTAGAGATGATAAAAAATGACAACTGTTAATGATATTTAAGCACTGTGGCGTTATTTCACACTACAGAGTCCTCATCGAACTACCAAATAAGAGACATTCACTAACTTGAAATGATTATACTCAGCTAGCTTTAACAGTCATTTGAAATAAAAATTAAAAAAGCAAATCTTAATTTACACAAGACTGAGCACAAAATGATGTCTAATTTTCACGTAAACATTTACATTTATATGTAGAGAGTCCATTTAATTAAATGGCTTCAAAAAGATTTTGCTTACAGAGCCCAATGGTGAGGTTTGAAGATCTTTCATGTGACTCTGGTCTCCCTTCAGTCAGATCTTGGATAAGAAGACACTAGTGGAAAGAGTGCAGAGGGGCAAAGGGTGGGTGTAGCGATCGCCTTTTCATTCCATCAGATCCAAATGCTACAAGAACATAAATGTGCATTTAAATACAGACATCCCAGTCGCTCAGCAATCATCTAATCCAAGGGAAAGAGTTGACTGAATTACCTTCGCAAATCCCTTTTCAACCGTGTAAAACAGGACTAGCCATTGTATCATAATGCGTCCATGATGTTTGGAACCAGGTCTGCTCATATTAGTGGTTTAAAATATCTTTTACAATGAATTAGATATATGTTATCTTGCCTGAGACAAAATACCATTGCTTTTGTCTAGTTTAGCTATTTACACACAAAATAATGCCAAACCTACGGTGGCCAAGAGAGCTCAACGTGCTGCAAATGAAAAAAAAAACATGCAAATAGAAAAAACATCTGCAAATTAAGAAAACTTCTTCATCAATTTGACAACACACGCACTGCAAATTCTCACAACACAACCAAATACAGAAACGCACTGCAAATTCTCACAACACAACCAAATACAGAAACGCACTGCAAATTCTCACAACACAACCAAATACAGCAACGCGCTGCAAATTCTCACAACACAAACAAAGAAACGCACTTCCCTTAAACATTTCCGATGTGGTCTGTGCATATTTGCAGCGCATTTCTGTTTTTGTTTGTTTGTTTTGTATTTGCAGCGTGTTTCTATTTGTTTGTTGTGAGAATTTGCAGCGCATTTATGTCTTCGGTTGTGTTGCGAGAATTTGCAGCGCGTGTTGTCAAATTGATGAAGATGGGGAAGTCGTGGCCGAAGTCATGGCCAACCAGTCGTGGTTGCGTGTTCGAGTCTCGTACCGGCAGGGATTGTAGGTGCGGGCAGTGAATGTACAGCGCTCTCTCCCACCTTCAATACCACAACTGAGGTGCCCTTGAGCAAGGCACCGAACCCCCAACTGCTCCCCGGGCGCCGCAGCAAATAATGGCTGCCCACTGCTCCGTGTGTATGTTCACCATCCAAAGTTCCATCCAAGTTGGCCACATGTCACTTCACTCACTTTAAAAGATGTTTTCTTAATTTGCTGGTGTTTTCTCTATTTGCATGTGTTTTTTCATTTGCAGCGCGTTGAGCTCTCTCGGCCACCGTACAAACCGTACACCCTAATCTAAACAAGACATCTATGCATGCATTTATGGCAGAAAAAGTTCAATGAAAATGCCTGAAACTGTATGAATCAGTGAAAATGTACTCCATAATACTTTTGGAAGTATAAACTCTATAAAAAAGTATAAACTCAAGTTTTGAAATGACACGACGGGAAGAAAATGTGCTTTTATCAGGTAAAAGCTAAAAGTTAGGGTATCACAATAGTTGTGATTTGCATGTTTGTTATTTTATATGAATGATGGTGTGACTGCTTCTTTTAAAGAAACATGCTGGGCCATTAGGCCACAGTTAAACAATACAATAGTTTGAAGCAGACTCAAAGAGGGATCCAAATTCCCAAAGGATTTATAAAGCTTTTAGTCGTGAATTAACATCCACCTAAACCAAGGTTCAAAGGAATGTTTCCTTCATTTTGGGAGATAGAAAAAAGAACATCGCATGAATACAAACACATGGCGAATGGTGGAAATGGAAGAGCCAAACTGGAAACTCGAAAAACACACACACGCCACGCACAACTGAATAATGTCGACGGTAAGTAGAATGTAAAGAAATCGGTTGCAAAATGCTAATAATATAGTACATGTGTCACATCTCTGAAAAATCATAGAAAAAATAAACTGAAATGAATGTGTGAGATTTAAACCCTGTGAAACTGGAAAGCATATTCTAGTATATTTCACTCTTAGTAGACTAGAAACGACAGAGGTGCCCCTGAGTGGCGTTAGCCACCTGATCTCGCACCCTATACCTGGCGGTACAGAGTCCACAACAGGAAGTCCTCTTCTTACCCTCATTCATAGTCCTTGGGAAGGGGTTATAGAGTCTCAATTGCCTTTGGAAGTGTGTGTGATTCTCCCTTCAGCAAACTCGGTTGGCATGTAAGAGGTGTGTGAGGATGAGGTGTCGGAAATGATCGTACGTATGTATGTGTCACGTCAGGGATCCAAAGTTTCCTGGCAGTGTTTATAAGGCTTGTGTTTTGAGCTCAATCGGCTCCCCTCGGGTCTCCTGCTGGGCTTCGGCCTCGGGAGGTCGGTTGCCCTTGAGGACAGCCAGTCTCTCTGACAGACCGCGCATCCGGGGAAAGAGCATGAAGTCGTAGAGCAGAGCGCCCATAGCACTGCCGATCATAGGGCCCACCCAGTACACCTACCGGAAAGTGAGAGAGAACAGATAGAAAATCGTTACATTTATGAATTAGCAAAATGTTCCTTCATCTGAATACAATGGAAATGTGCCTCACCCAATGGTTAATAAAGTTCCTGAAAAGCACAGCAGGGGCAAAAGACCTGGCAGGGTTCATTCCAGCTCCAGTGTAATACATCTGCAAAGCGATTCATGTCAAGTCAAGTCAAATTTATTTGTATAGCACTTTTCACAATACACATTGTTTCAAAGCAGCTTAGCAGATTAGAGCTGGTCTATAATGTAGTTTACTTTTTGCAATGATACAAGCAATCAAGCAGTTGAGATGTGCTATATAATATATTTCACAATACTGTATACAGAGTATATATAAACCAAAGTTAGTCATACTTGTATATCCAAATTCATAGATTTTTTAATTTATAAGGAGCCAGGCAATAATATAGTTACATATTTTGCAATAAATAAATAATAACCAAGAAAAATTATTTTTAACATAGCGTGCATTTCATAAGTATTTACATAACCAGTAGTGTCAGTACTCTTCAACTGGTGGGTCTTGACTCTTGATACACAAATCGTACTGATAAAATCATGTTCAGTAATATAGATGAAAAATTAAATAGGCTTATTAACTTTTAAAAGGGAGAAAATGTTCAAAGATGTCATTAAACAAACTCTACAGTATTTATCTGTTACTTGAAGAGATAGTTCACCCCCAAAAA